AGTTGACAATTACAGTCATAGTGCATTTACTGAGTTCATACTACATAGTGATGATATCAGGGAATATATTCTACCAGAACACACCCCTTACACCTAGGTCGAGTATGGCAAATGTTGATTAATGTCTTGCTAAAGGAAATTAGTGCTACGTACAGTATGGATTTGAACCCGAGGGCTATATATCAAGGTTCACTATCCAGAAACTTATCCTCTGCACCATATGCAGCTCTACATGAACCAAGGTTGATGCCCACTATTTTATAATGTCTGTAATTCATATGATTGATTTAAATCAATAGAGCTATAATTTAAGCTATATGAATTTCAGTATCATACGCTGCATGAAAAATACCCTTAATGATACGGTTCATTTGTCCGCTAAGATTATTTTATATTTTCATATAGAACATTGCACACATACAAGAAGGTTAACTATAGCTAATTTATTTTTATCCATGAACTCATCTCCATTGCTATAGAGAACTCCTCCTTGAAATCCTTTCCAGTCACTGTCAGTTCAGTAAGGTTTAGCATGGAACACAAAGCATCTACGAGGTGATGTAAAGAGGCTGATGTTGGACATCTAACATCTAAAAGCATAATAGTTTGGATTTACATGTACACAAACCGTTATCCATACATGTACATTATCAGAGTCCCTGATTTAATTGAATGCCTGCGAATGTAACTGGGTGCTTCGATGTACATGTATAGGTATTGCTTTACTCAATTGAAAATGGTTTGGGCAACATTTTAGTCAAATAGATAGGATTTGGATTAGGGCTTCCAATAGGTTTGAGCTTACATTTAGTGATAGGTATATTTGTGGAGCAGGGTTCAAATTAAGATTTCGGTTACTGCAGGACAGTAAGCAAAGAAAAAATGTTGATAGAACAGATGTCTAACAACAGGAGGATACTTACTACATAGTGATGCACTCAATGAATATATCCTACAAGAATCCCCTCTTACACCTAGTAGGTCGAGTATGGCAAATGCAGATTATTGCTTGATAAACGACATTAGTGCTATGTACATTAAAGATTTGTAACCTAGGCCTATACATCATGGTTTAACTCCAGAAACTTATCAACAGGCCCAGAAGGAGCTCTACATGAACCATGGTTGATGCCCATTATTTGATTATGTCTGTTATTCATATGATTGATTTTAATAGAGCTTTATTAAAGCTATATGAATCTCCTGATCATATACAGTGCATATGAGACCTTTTGAATAAAACTGTTCCTTTGTCGGCTAAGCCTATTTTATATTTGTATTTAGGACAGTACACATTTACAAAATTGTTGACTGTAGTTAATTTAGCATTATCCTTAAAACTCAACTCCATTGCTATACATAAACATGTAATCATAATTGCATGGATATAGAGTACAAAGACACATACATACCTGTAATGTTGATGCCTTTGTATTCAGTGTAGAAGAGAACTCCTCCTTGAAATCCCTTCCAGTCACTGTCTGTTCAGTAAGGTTTGGCATGATACACATAGCATCTACGAGGCGATATGAAGAGGCTGATGCTCGACATCTAACATCTAAAAGCATGATGTAGTTTGGATCTACATGAATACAAACCGTTAACCATACATGTACATTATCTTATTTCCTGTTTTATTTAAATGACTGCAAATGTAATTGGGTGCTCCGATGTACATGTATGGGTATTGCTTTGCCCCGGTTCCAAATGTTTTGGGCAACATTTCAGTCAAATATTTAGTATTTGGTCAAGGGCTTCCAATAGGTTTTAGCTTAGATTTAGTGATAGGTATTTATAATTTTTAGAGCAGGGTTAAGAATTTCGGTCGTGCAGCCTGTGCAGGACTGTCGGCACACTAAAAGTGTTGATGGATTTGGTTTCTAGTAACAAGAGAGTTGACAATTACAGTCATAGTGCATTTACTGAGTTCATACTACATAGTGATGAAATCAGGGAATATATTCTACCAGAACACACCCCTTACACCTAGGTCGAGTATGGCAAATGTTGATTAATGTCTTGCTAAAGGAAATTAGTGCTACGTACAGTATGGATTTGAACCCGAGGGCTATATATCAAGGTTCACTGTCCAGAAACTTATCCTCTGCACCATATGCAGCTCTACATGAACCAAGGTTGATGCCCACTATTTTATAATGTCTGTAATTCATATGATTGATTTAAATCAATAGAGCTATAATTTAAGCTATATGAATTTCAGTATCATACGCTGCATGAAAAATACCCTTAATGATACGGTTCATTTGTCCACTAAGATTATTTTATATTTACATATTGAACATTACACACATACAAGAAGGTTGACTATAGCTATTTTTTTTTATCCATGAACTCATTTCCATTGCTATAGATACATGAACATGTAATCACAATGGCATGGATATAGAGTACAAAAAACATACATACCTGAAATGTTGATGCCTTTGCATTTACTGTACAAGAGAACTCCTCCTTGAAATCCTTTTCTAGCCACTGTCTGTTCAGTAAGGTTTGACATGGAACACAAAGCATCTACGAGGTGATGTGAAGGTGCTGGTATTAGACATCTAACATCTAAAAGCATGATAGTTTGGATCTGCATGCATACAACCGTTAATCATACATGTACATTATCTTATTTCCTGTTTTATTTAAATGACTGCAAATGTAATTGGGTGGTCCGATGTGCATGTATGGGTATTGCTATGCCCAGGTTACAAATGTTTTGGACAACATTTTAGTCAAATATTTAGGATTTGGTTAAGGGCTTCCAATAGGTTTGAGCTTAGATTTAGTGATAGGTATTATAATTTTTAGAGCAGGGTTAAAGTTAAGAATTTCGGTCGTGCAGCCTGTGCAGGACTGTTGGCACACTAAAATTGTTGGTGGATCTTGTCTCTAGTAACAGGAGAGTTGACAATTACAGTCAAAGTGCATTTACTGACTTCATACTACATAGTGATGAAATCAGGGAATATATTGTACCAGAACAAACCCCTTACACCTTGGTCGAGTATGGCAAATGTTGATTAATGTCTTGCTAAAGGAAATTAGTGCTACGTACAGTATGGATTTGAACCCGAGGGCTATATATCAAGGTTCACTGTCCAGAAACTTATCCTCTGCACCACATGCAGCTCTACATGAACCAAGGTTGATGCCCACTATTTTATAATGTCTGTAATACATGTGATTGATTTAAATCAATAGAGCTATAATTTAAGCTATATGAATTTCAGTATCATACGCTGCATGAAAAATACCCTTAATGATACGGTTCATTTGTCCACTAAGATTATTTTATATTTTAATATAGAACATTGCACACATACAAAAAGGTTGACTATAGCTAATTTATTTTTATCCATGACCTCATCTCCATTGCTATAGATACATGAACATGTAATCATAATGGCATGGATATAGAGTACAAAGACACATACATACCTGTAATGTTGATGCCTTTGCATTCCGTGTAGGATAGAACTCCTCCTTGAAATCCCTTCAAGTCACTGTCTGTTCAGTAAGGTTTGGCATGGAACACAAAGCATCTACGAGGTGATGTGAAGGTGCTGGTGTTAGACATCTAACATCTAAAAGCATGATAGTTTGGATCTGCATGCATACAAACCGTTAATCATACATGTACATTATCAGAGTTCCTGTTTTAATTGAATGGCTGCAAATATAACTGGATGCTCCGATGTACATGTATGGACATTGCTATGCTTAGGTGACACATGTTTTGGGCAAAAAATTAGTCAAATATAAAGGATCTGGATTAGGGATTCCAATATGTTTGAGCTTAGATTTTGTGATAGGTATATTTGTGGAGCAAGGTTAAAATTAAGATTTCGGTTACTGCAGGACAGTAAGCAAAGAACAAATGTTGATGGAGCAGATGTCTAACGACAGGAGGATACATACTACATAGTGATGCACTCAAGGAAAATATCCTACCAGAATCAACCCCTTACACCTAGTAGGTCGAGTATAGCAAATGTAGATTAATGTCTTGCCAAACAACATCAGTGCTACATACAGTGAGAATTTGAACCCTAGGCCTTTACATTATGGTTCACTGTCCAGAAACTTATCCACTGGAGTACAAGCAGCTCTACATGAACCAAGGTTGGTGCCCATCATTGTATTATGTCTATTATTCATACGATTTATTTTAATAGAGCTTTATTAAAGCTATATGAATTTCCTAATCATGTACAGTGCTTGTGAGACCTTTTGGAGAAAACTGTTCCTTTGTCGGCTAAAACTGTTTAATATTTTTTATATAGAACATAACAAAAATACAAAATTGTTGACAGTAGTTAATGTATCATTATCCTTAAAAATCAACTTTATTGCTATACATAAACATGTATTTATCATGGCATGGATATAGAGTACAAAGACACATACATACCTGTAATGTTGATGCCTTTGCATTCAATGTAGAATAGAACTCCTCCTTGAAATCCTTTCCAGTCACTTTCTGTTCAGTGAGGTTTGACATGGAACACAAAGCATCTACGAGGTAATGTGAAGAGGATGATGTTGGACATCTAGCATCTAAAAGAATGACAGTTTGGATCTACATGTAAACAAACCGTTATACATACATGTACATTATCAGAGTCCTTGTTTGAAATGAATGACTGCAAATGTATCTCGGTGCATCTGAAGTACATGTATGTGTATGGCTATGCTTAGGTGATAAATGCTCTGGGCTTATTAAGTAAATAAAATTGGATTCGGATAAGGGCTGCAAATAGGTTTGAGCTTCGGTTAAGTGATAGGAATAAGTTAGTAGTCTGGGACCGATGTTCCCCTATTTAAAAAAGAGCTCGACGAAGGAATACATATTTTGCCCCCCTACAGGATGAAGTCAATTCTTACCTTCAATATAGTTTGTTTATGAAATCCATAAAGCTGTAGTTTTGGCCATCATTCCCTGTGTTTCTTGTTGTTCTTCTCCTTCAACTTCAAGTTAGACGGTGTATATTTAAAATCACAAAGAATATCACTCTAGTTACATGGCGTTTGTATACACATGCAGCCAAAATGATAGAATTCATGATCAAATATGTCTTAGTGGAGAGCCCTACATGCTCATTGCTCCTCATTTTTGCTTGGTCGATCAAAGCAGTTTTTCTTAGCAGGATGATCTCAAAGAACAGGAAGAAATCAACTAAACCGTTGACTAATGAATTCTCTCATTGTGATATAATAACACATCCCATTCCTGTCATTCAATTCCCTTTGATTTCCGAAAACCATGTAGGAAGATTTAATGTATCCTCAAAACATATAGGCCTATGTGTTTAAAGGGTAGCGAGTATCTCCTTGCAAACCTACTCTATGTTGTAAATCAAGGAATCATATGCCTATGTTTTCACGTATCACAGCAATGACCCTTTCAAATTGTGTGCGATTGTGGGTAAATAGGCCGCACATGATGGTATATTGAGGGGATGCACCCCCCCCCTTTCCCGCCACGAGATTGTTTTTGTTTGCTGGGGGGGGGGGCAATATCTGGGCAACCACCATCTCATATTCGTGTCCATGTCGCCCCCCCCCCCCCCCACCCTGCGCAAAATTAAATCCGGGTCACACTTTTTTTAGCAGCAGAGGTAAGGGGGCATTATCACAATCATAATCACAATCATAATCACCATGCACCATGCACCTCACCTTTCACCAGTAGACATTTGGACACGATTTATCTTGTCGTCTATTGTATTCCTCTATACTATTTGTCTAGGCAATGAAAACGCGCGTGTGCGTAGGATAGAACGCACAGGCCTGCAGGCTGGTTCTGGCAGGCATTATGTGGATGACGAGGCTCCGTCATTTTATTGTACGCTACCTACAGTGCAGTGGTAACATGCACCTTCTTTTTCGTCGTCATTTGATCATTGCATTTTTGTTTGATTTATACTTTTTAGTGGAATATCTTTCTACTATTCACGAATCAAATACTAACTGATACATTCAGTGAGGATATCAAAATCCCGGCGATTCTATAATAGAACTTTACTAGGTCTAGGAGACTATTGAAATTATCCGGCGCAAGGTGACTTCATCAGCAGATCAGATGAGTAGTTGATCAAGTGTAGATCACGATCACATTCGAATATCTGGCTCAGGAGAATACTTGTCATAGCCATAGGTAAGCAGTGATATATAACATTGAGTATTTCTTATACCAAAATTAATTTATGTCATGACATTAATTTAAACCTCAACCATTGATGTTCATGTTGTGTTGGTTCACTGTACGTTTGTAAGCATGCTAATTGTCAGTTTTCATCACACAAGGGCCTGAACGTTTTTTTAGCAAAACACTGGCCATACCGCCAAATTTAAGCAGTCTTTAAAGCAATTATAGCCTAGTCTACAAGCAATTTTTTTCATGAATGCAGTCATTAAAAAGCAAGTTTCATGCGGTTTGGAAAAGAGAGACGACTAAAGCTGTATTTTGACTTTCGTAGCACTTGCCGTGCACCCGACCCCCTTCGTAGTGTTATGGCCTATGGACGGACTCACCACGGACGCCATTTTGCATGTTGCCATTTTCACAATGATACGATGCTACTCAATCGATCTCACATAAATGCGCTTCTACAATAGATCTAGTCATATTCACTTTGTGCACCAGCGAAAAGGCACAGCGCAGTACCTATTTCGCCATTTTGAAAGTAGTACCGGTGATCGCCACTATGAATACAAATAAATGGAAGTTTACTTACAATTAATTTTGTAGCGAAAATATCAAAATAAGACGACATATAATTCGTATTCGAACCTTTATTCTAATGGTGCTGTCATTCTTTTCAACGTAGACTGTTCTAGCATGCAACCAGCAAACCATAGGCACCATCAACAGTCACGATGTTTGGAATATATGTGATAAATTCTTCTATGACCATGAAACTCTAATAAAGTAGACCTTTTAGAGACATAACGCATAGTCTAAGTAGCTATACACTGACTTCCAACTTGTAAGTTACAAAATATTACTTACGAATCGTGCAGCACCAGACAATCCCCGTATCAAATAATTCCCATTACCGTTTTTGCGTCGATCAAATACGTTTTCAGTCAAGCTGCAGGAGTGCAGCTGCTATGCAGACACCTTTGGAGTATGATGTTTCCACAAATCACCGTTTGCCACCGTTTCTATAAATTGCCCCGATATAATGTATATCAGACAATAGCATATCATCACAAATCCAACAAGCTCTAGGAAAATGTAATAAATACAATGTTCCTGTTCAATATGTACAACACATAGCATAGTCATAGGACGATGTACGCTACATTAGTTTAGGCGCATGAACTACATTTTACAATGTTGCTCGATTCGTGGACTGCCGTTGCGATTTCTGGACTGCCTACTCCTAAAAAGAACACGCGCCCACACATATGTAACATGTGTGTGCGTGTGTACGTGTGTGTGTGTGTGGAATTGGATTTTCACAGACGTTTATCAATCAGATATGGTTAGTTAAGGGGACCGACCTTTAAGGTCACCATCCGAAAGACGTGACTCAATTTTGAACGGCGTTTCGAACCGGGGTCGGCCATAGTCAATTTGAAGGTGAAGACAGAGAGTTGTCAATGCAAGTGAACGTATACCACTAGACTATAAATTTCTGAAAATCTGGTGTTCTATTTCACTAAATTTAACGAGTGGATGCACTGAATTACTGCGTTCCAGTCAAAGTCTGCAGGACGTTGAAAAGTTGTTACTTTGATCTCAGGCGAATGCATGACCTATTCGGTCTCTCAACATTATAATATAAGCCAAAACTCCTTTTAAAGCTCATAATCTGTATCAATCTATCACGGAGTTTTTCCCCTTTAAGAACCTACCACTACATATTAGTTTGGTAATAATAGAAGCAGCAACATGAGTGAAAGATCAGTCCATTCCAGTTTAAGGCAGTGACAAATAAAAGTTGCCATCGTACATGTACAATCATAAATGGCAAGAAATTTCCTGTTAGGTGATGAAGGAATACATGTGAATTATACAAATCAGCACATGGGAGATGCGCTCGAAACTCAGAGTTGCCAATTTGCAATCAAATGACTTTAACAATCCAATGAAATGGGGCCAAAGATTTGATATATATAATTCAATTTGTCTTATTATGTAACTCAGTCTTAAGTTGTCCAGTACATGTAATATTATTTGTGAAGATATGGGGTTCTAATCAATTGCACAATAGTAAAGGGATGGTTATTATTTATTCAAATATGCCATATTAAGTATGACTAGGGCACATGTTGGTGTGTTCGTTTTTGTTTAAACAAAAATGTTGGTTGTGCACACAACCAACTCGTAAAATATGGTGCACTTGGTCCCAATACCATGTGATTATCAATTTGACTACATGTATTAATACCAATATCTTTATACAGTAACGTGTGTAGGCCTATCGCAGATTACAGTCAGTGGCGTTCGCGTTGTCGGCAAGTTTCCAACATCCATGAGGTATAAAGGGGTTGACATTAATCTGAATATCTAATAGTATTATCTCAAATACGTTTCCATGCAGTCATATAAATTTTGATCAAGTATTGCCTTGCACAGGCAGCGGTATACAAAATCTTACCTTACTTCGCGAACCTGATAGTCACATAAGTTCATACACTTCCAGTACCAGCACATGGGCACAGTCTCACTAGATTTGCAAGGTATCCGCAATTGTGAACAATATTTCAAACAATTAATGGAATCCTTCGAATTTTCATTCTTGGCAATGACTTCCTTCCATGGGCGATTTATATACTCAACAAGATTTTCGATGAACTGCCCTCCAGAAAAGCAATGGCAAGGAAAAGTAGAATTGTCGTGATAATGCACGTGCGTGAATGAAATAGTTTTAGTGATACTTATTAACTATAACTGTTAGTAAAAATGCGCGCGAACGCACAATGCATGACGGTTTCCTCAATAGGCTGCACTTTGACCTCTGTCTCGTCACTAGGGGCGTTCACAAGTGAGATTTAAAAAAACGAATTCTGCATTGCGATCCAAAAACCGTTTTTTGTTGTTTATGTTTGCCTGTGTGGAGAGCATAATTTCACTAATCTTCGCAAATCGCATCACGATCCAATTCACAGTAAGTTTTGCAATTTTTCACAATAATCGTGTGTTAATGGTATTGAGAATCAAAGATCGATTTATTTAATCCCAGGATTCCAAGCGCGCATACATCGTCGAGATTCACGCATGCGCAATTCGGACGTTCTTGCCGTTGATCGAGTATTCTCCCTGTGTGTGAATGGTTACCAAAAAAAGTCAATCTTTGCATCGCTGCACTAAATTGACATGTGGGAACGGTCCCAAATCAAAATCGATCTTTACATCGTGATCCAAGTCACACTAATTGTTATGTGTGAACGGGCCTACTGTTACAGATATAAGACATGAAATCATAAATGCAGAGACAAAACAAACCACGCTGAATTTGAAGGCAAATATAGTGCAATCGGTTTTCTATTTATACCGCGGTACAGTGGGAAGAGGGGGAGGGGGTGTTTTCAATATAGATAGGATTGTGATAATGATCATTGGAAATCTGATGAATATAATAAATGATATTGTGTATCATATATTATGTATTAGGAGCTCCACTGGCTACCTCTCCACCAACGTGTTCTATTTAAATTCTGTGTGTATGCTTTTGAAATACTCAATCATTTGGCACCTGAATATCTTCTTAATAACACCCTCCAATATATACACCAACTCGTAATCTTCGTCCAGCAACCGACACATGTAAACTTAGCATTTCCAAATCTAGACTCTCAGCAGCTGGAAAAAAACGCTTTGCAGTAGCTGTATCAAAGACTTGGAACAGCATCCCTCTTTCCATAAGGGAAATTACCTGTCTTGCCATCCTCAAAATATCCCTCAAAACTCACCTTTTCCCCCAATGATCTATGTGATATACTTCCTGTACTGTACATTTTTGTCCTCTTTTCATATATTTGTATTTGTAAGCGCTATGGTAATTATTGTTTTTAGCGCTCCTAATTATTCGATATTATCATTTATTATTATTATATAT